CTAAATCATCACCTGGTCATAAGTGGCTCAGACTTCCTTACCAAACCACAGCCAGGAATATATCTCACATGACCACTAACATACAGCTCGTCTGTATACTATTATTACACATAATTGTTACATAATTCACTAGCAGATAAATGCATTTAAAATTCAGTCTTTCTATTCCAATAAAAACAGGCCAGACTTGATTTTTGTCCAATCAAATGCTCCGTAGAATAGGAATGTTACATACTTCAGTTTTGATGGGAATGTTTAGTGTATGCATACAGCAAATTTATATTCTTTCAAAGTATACTCCATTTCATAGAATGCACTAACGCAGGTGCTCAACACGTATGCTGGGAAGTTTAATCCTTGTCCAGTATCTGTGCCATTTTTCTCCAGACATTATGAGTGATAAAAATATAATTGTCAATGGGCAAAGTGAATGTGAAACAAAGGGCAGAGGCAGTTGCCATCTTTTGGACAAGGCGTGAACTATGCTGTTGACATTTACGCAGTGTCCACTGTAAATTGAAGTATACTTTAGGCTTAAGCCAGAGTTTTAGTCCAGAGTACAACCTTAAAACAATCACTCAAACATCCGTTTTTCTTTTTTTCTGTAGTCAAAAACTATTTAAAGCGCAGAATATTTTATATTTTGGAATATTTTCACTTTACCCCAGTCCAAAAAACACATTTAATGTTAAGAGTAGTGGACTCTGGTAGAGGCGATATTCAGCGAGGTCACGTCACTGAATTTGAAGAATTGCCTTAACTCCAAAAACCTAGTTTAACCCCTGCACCTCAAGTGATTAATCATACCTGTATGTGTTATTGTTTAGGCACACTGAAGAGGAGAAGAAATCCCGCTGCACAGACCCAGCCGCAGCGCCATCGCCAGCAGAGAGAGAACTATCAGATGGGCCAGATGCGACGCTGAGACAGCCTCCTCATTGCCTTGGTTCTTCCTAGTGCCTACAGTGGGAAACACTTCACTCCAAAGAGTTAGCTGAATCAATCAATGAGCCCCATCTACAAACTAAGAAACTGGCAAATAAAAGGACTTCAAAGGACTATACTTAAGAAAACAACCGTTTTAAAGAGTAAGAAACCACTGCTCTGGGAGCCAGCAAAGCTTTCGTTGCATAGCTCAGAGAAACATTCAGAAGCTAGTCATGAGGAAGAGGACAGAATGGATGATTTTTGTTCTGTTTTTTCTGCTTTTCATATTCTTTCTCAAGTGATTAAACCATTTTTCCCCCCTTTATCCCTTTTTTTTTGGATTGCCACCCTCCTGTGGAGATGAGCATGATGGGATATCACATAGATATTTCTGCCTATCAACAATGGCTGAGAGAACTCTTTAAAAAGACTCGTTTTCCAGTATGTAATTAAGATGTTTTTAAAATGCAAGCAAAAGGATTAAAAAGCTTTTATTTCTGAAGCTTTCTCATTGTCTCCAGCGTGCGATTGTACAGAGATCTCAAAATACATCAGATCTTTTTCAGTCATGTCATTTTTTTTAATTCTGTTGGATGATGATGATCAAGGATGTTTAACTGACACTCAGGATATAATAGGAAATAACAGCACAGAGAGTTTCTATTGGTGAAAGGCCTTTACCAGATTCACTTTGCTGAAAGCCACATTTGTGCAGAGCACTTGTTTATTTTCCCCTCCCCAGCTGATAACCACTAAATAGCTGCAGTTCTTCATTCCATGTGGGCGAGGGAGTTAATGAGAAGGATGATGGTTAAAAAAAGCTATGATCTGCTGAGAGTCACTGTTACTTTATGTTCAGCCGATAAAACACTGGTCCCCACAGGAGACAGACTTGAAAAGAGAAGCACAACATCAGGAAATATTTGGTTTTTCAATCCATAAAAGGTTTTTATTTTGCAATAAAATGTTGGAAACAGGAAAGTGTGGACAGTTACACAAATGAGTAAATCTCAGTGGTGTGCATTAGTGAAAGGATGGGATAGATGGAGAGAGAGAGAGATGATAAAAGCAATCTGTAGATTCTTTAGTGTTTTACACACCAATCAATATTTATACAAAGCAACTTTTCCTCAGAGATTTCAGTCATTACCTCTTTTAATAGTTAAAAAACAAAAGATCCAGACTAGCAGCCTATATAATCAATACATATATGCCTTGTGTTGCTATATAGTGTATCTGAACCAGTCCATGGTAACTATACTACTATCACTGCAGTCCAACATCCTTTTTTAAAAGAAACCTTTCCATTCTCTCTAAATGTCTTTTGATTGTCTTCTGTGTTTGTGTCTCAACAAAGGCAAAGGGTTACAAATGATTCATGCATCACAGATGTCCTTTTTTAAAGTTTTCTTTTGTGCTTTTTTGTATTTCAACAGACCAGGAATATTTTGTCCTCTGTTTTAAGTTTGTTGAATGTGATCCTGGTAGTGTGACTGAGAAGTCCGATGTTTCTTAAGTCTGTCTTCTCAAACAACCTTGCATCCTTTAAGGATGTGCATTTAAAACATGGATGATTTGCTTATTTTGCTGACTATAAGTCCTCCCTTAGATCTAAATCATCACCTCATTTGTGTATGTCTCTGTACATGTTAATGGGAAATGGGTTTTTAGCGAGCTTGACTTTACTGTTCTGACTGCAATTGGCTTCAAATTAATAATTTTTTGTGTTATTCTGTGGTAAATGGGTTTGGTTGAATTTGTAAGGGGATTTGGCCTAGGATTTAATTTTTACAAAATATTTTTTGCTCGTCTAGCTTTAAGTTTATAAATAATGTGCACTGATATGTAAGCATGGTGTGGATAGAATTTGAAAAACAAGATGGAGAAAATGTCTAATACTACTACTGTTTGATTTTAATGTCCGCTGTGTTTTATACAGTATCTTTCTTTTCTTTTTTTTGCTTTATTTGTAGTTTTTTTTTCCTCTTCTCTTTTGCGCTCACTTTTGAACATTTTTACTAAATACTTGGCAAAAAGTATTGTGCAACGACATGTAATTTTTTTGAAGTACTTGAAATGCATTAATAAAATAGCCTTGATCAAGAGCTCCTTTCACTGTCTGGTAAAACATGTCCATGTGTTGACGTAAATTGTATTAATTGCCTGTATGCTCTACAAATTTGCACTAATGCATGTTTTTTTTTTTTATTATTACTTTACTGCATATTGTAACGGTATATTTCAAGAACGCCGCTGAAGTATTCAACAAGCCATCACAGTATAGAAATCATTCATTCATGTTATATTTAAGTTGAATTGAGTCACACTTTTCACAAATAATTTTCTCATAAACTGAACATTTTTGTTTGTCAACCTCTCACCCTCTTGTTACACAACTTGTGTAGTTATGTCAAATCTGTTGTATACAATCATTTGTTGCCAAGTTCAGTTGCAATTTTACAGAGGAAAGTGATGTATCCTGTGTCTACTTTTTACTTTATCCAGGGATGGACTGGCTATAAGTTATCCTATAAGTTAAAAAACTAATATGACAATATATTTCAGGATGTGTGCTAATGAAAAGAAAGCATCTTTAATGTAGTGCCAATAGTAGGGCAAATAAATAAATAAATATGCATTATGTATGTTACCTCCCTGTTTTTATGCCTATGCATTATCATAGGGGATTTCATGAGACAATTATTCCGACAATTAAAACACAGTGGACACACCACATAAAGAAACATTTTATTACAGGCTGATCTACTTTGAAGATATCTACAACACACAAATGCACAGATGTTTGCTTGGAGGTTGAGCTCATATTTTATTTAATAATAAATTATCTGTAATGGGACAATGTTCAGTCAGTTTTGGGAGTCTAATAAGAGTCATACTCTATTTCAGAAATAAAAAGGCAAAGATGGCAGCTCTTAACAGTGTTCAATTGCTATATACTGTATGGTACTTAAAAAAAGTTGTTAGGCCTACATGATTTCTCCCCTACCCCTGCAGTGCTGTCTACATCACTGGTTTCAAATGGATGAAGGGTATAGGAGACCAAAAACTCTTCCGAGCCAATTAAGAAGGTGCCATTTTCACACAATTAAACCTGCGCAAGGAATCATGGGAGTTAAGTGTCCATATCCTTCATTCCAAATGCCCGTTTTAAGTGGCCGGTTGTGAGCAGTTTGGAACGACCCCTCAATATGGTGGCTACAACGATTCTCATTCTGAAGTGCCCTTCGGAATCAGATTTGAAACGCAGGGCGAGTATCAACACTAAGGGGCTGTTTACACCTGGTCACTTCATGCGTTTTGTCTGATCGTGAAAAGGCCAGGTGTAAATGTCCTCTGAAACGTATTCGAGACGGATATAAATCCGATCGCTCAAACCACTTCAGGAGGTGGTCTGGGCCCCATTCCAGACGAAACTGGACAAGTGTAAATGCATCTGGTTGTTGAAACCACATATGTAAATTTTACTCCTCCCAAAATGTTAAAATAATAAACGTGTGAGAGCGTGTTATAGGCTTTATGACATTAGTCAGACTGCGCTAAAGCAACACGCATCGCTGCGGACAACACACAATCATCTTCATTAAAAGTAGTAAGACAAACGTATCTTTCCAGCGCTCTCCTATTGCGGTCTTTGATCTTGAAATGAACTGATAATTAATCAAAATGCAGCGCTTATCTTTTTGATTTTGTTGACGTGAACTCTTGTTAATTTTATATATAGTGCGGGAATTGAAGACTGATGCCGCGCGCTCTCCTATTGCGGTCTTTGATCTTGAAATGAACTGATAATTAATAAAAATGCAGCGCTTATCTTTTTGATTTTGTTGACGTGAACTCTTGTTAATTTTATATATAGTGCGGGAATTGAAGATCGGATTTAAATCTGTTTTGCGACGACACATTTATGTAGCCAAGTGTAAATGCATGGAAACCTTTTAACAAATCAGATAGATATCCGATCAACGAAAACGCATGAAATGACCAGTGCTGCGTTCAGCCCCGACAAAAACGGTGCAAAACGGTGCACACCGGTTTGAGCTTGAACATGCCCCAGGTGTAAACAGACCCTAAAACACAAGGTCAATCAAGAGAGCGGCCCGTGCCTTTTAGCCAATCAGAATGCTCTCTATTTGCTGACATTTGAGGGCGGGATTCTGGAAGGAGGGCTTCTGCTAAAAGTTGGCATAGCCTACAGTAAAATGTAAAAATATTTGATATACGAAAACCTAACCATGTTTAATAACAAAATCCTGGAACACTTGGTCATTCTTTAATTTCTCATAAAAAATGAAAGTTAGAAACATTAAGCATATATTACAGGAAATCCGGTCCCAAAGGCTGTGAAGACACGATCTCATGTGTGAGGTGAGTTTGTTTTAGTCGTGCTTCATCCTCATCATCATCCTCCGCTTCTGCTGTGTCTTCTTTTCACAGCGCACGAACACCTTCTCCTGCGACGGCTCGATATACATGCCCTCGTCTGTCTGTGGGCAAAACGTAGTTCTGACGAGAAAAGAGCTGTTATGAGCTTCAGCTAGGTAGTAATGCGTTTTTACTTTATTTCAAAAACGCCTATTCAAACAACGGCAATGTCCACTAGAGGACGCTAGAATAACTAAACATGAAATGGAAGCTTGAAAATGTTAACGTTTTTTTGTGTCTGCTTTAAAAATGTATTCTTTGTGTGTGTGTTTTTCTGTATTTCTCTACTTAACAGTAGTTGAGATATTGTCTTGTCTGCATACACATTATCATGCCTGTTTCTGGTCTATTGCATTACTTTTCCCTCTTATTTTTTAATCTATTCATCTTGTCTATTTTTTAAAAGCTGTTATACTGAGGCACTAAAGATCATTTAGATCATTATACACTAAATCCAGGCTCTTAATCTTTAGTCAGCATCTTTTTTGCCTTTTATTCCAATGTGAGCGTTCAATTGATTCCTTATGAATTTATATAGATCCACCATCTGTGATGGCAACCTCTTATCCATCTCCTCTAACACTTACTTCCTCTGGGTCTCTCCTGCTTTCACTGTGATCTTCCCCACTGTGAGCTGTGGTCCTCTGCTGCTTTTGGCCCAAGGTATCATGGTCTTAACCGTGCTCCACATGTTTGCCCATACTTGGCTTCCCTCCCAGGTGAAGCGCATTATCATCAGGTCACCGATGTCAGTATCCAGAGTGATGAGGAAGGTAAAAGTCTTGTTACCTGAAATCTCCTCAACTCTGAGAAAGAGGAATTAGGTAAAGTAATTGTTCAGGTTTACTTCATTCAGTTTTTAGATTCCTATAATAAAACACAACAATAATTGGGTGAAAATGCATGAGAGTAATTGTGTGCCATGCTTTTGTTCGAGATGCTATTTTAGTCCATTGCATACTTCCCTGCAGTTTTCTGCTGTCTGTTTCATGTTCCCAGCACACATGTATTTCATTCATTCATGCGAAATGAGTTATTCTGATGAGAGCTCTCTGTGTGCTATGATGACTAAATTGAGTGGTTTCCCTTTGAAGCGGAGCTTGTTACTTTGAGCTTTTAGAGCCCAGTACATAAAACATTGATGTTCTTCATCCCGAATGTTATCAAGTAGTCTTTCATTTAGGAATCTTTGGCTTACTGTTAAATCTCGAGCTTCTGCTACTGTCACACTAATTTAAGCTTTTACTTATGAACTAACCATAGTTATAAATTGTACTTGTACATTTATTTTAACGTATGTTCTTGTAATTATACACTACCAAACAGATGCAGTGTTACATAGGCTTTAGTTTGGTTATAGCAGATGATGGTTAAATGCATAAAGCTTTTCAAATTGCAGAAAGCACAGATATATCCTTATGATGATATGGATGATGATGATGAGAGTCATTACAAAGCTCATTAAGTTAATGCTCAATAACACTTGATTAAGATCATGTTTTCTTAAGATGCAGTTGCTGATATCAATGTGAATTGCATACTTACAGTGTTATGGGTAAATTTTCACTTTCTCCCAGTGTCCCGGTTAGAGAGACTGTGAGGGTGGGCTCGATCTTATCAGTTTGGTTGATGAACTGGATCCTGAATTGATAGTGGAACACTAATGGGGAAGGAAAACAGAGTAGAACGGTTTATATTTTCCCCAAAACAACTGGAAAACCATTAATACAAACATTAATTGGGCAAAAAGTGTATTCTTAATCAGTAACAATGTCTTGATTCTTGATTCCCAATAAAATGTCTAAACATACTTAAAAAACATTTCTTGAAGAAAAAAAAAGTTATTTCTCCATATGTGTTTTTTTATTATTATTATTTTAAAAATATTTGTATTAGGGAGAGAACTTTAACAGAGGACATCATCTCTCATTTTACATAACAATAGGAATTGACTGTTTTACACTTTTTTAGGTTGTTATAACTGTTTCTCACATTTGTAGGGCATGTGTGAACGGGTTTTGAAAAACAGTCTCTTGCTTGCGCCGGTGCGGACTTTCTTGATGTCATAACCCAAAGTGTTACAGCGGTTCTTTCGGCAGTCCAGACAGTAGCCTTTATCGAAAGCCGTGTTGTCGCTGCACTTGTAGGCCATAATCTGCTTGTCTTTGTTCAACAGGGAGTCAATGAAGAGATGCACAGCACGCTCGTGGGCACATTTCACTGTCTGCTCAAAACCTAAAGTTAGATGGACACAACATAAGACTAATAAACAGCAAATAATCATAGGTTCACTTGTTTAGCTTAATCACACTTGTCTGTCTAGATTTACTGTGGTGTGTTGTGGGGAGTTAGCAGTGATGCTAATGCTCGGCTAAATTGTGATGCCATATGCAGACTATGGTTCAAATGTTTTGGATCAGTTCGATTTTTGTTTTCTGAAAGAAAATTAATACTTTTATTCAGCAAAGAAACATGAAATTCATCAAAAGTGACAGTCGTCCCACCCTTGCAGTGTGCCTGTCAGAGTCATGGACAGACTTTCGGGTCTGTCTTTCTGCTTCGATTTTTCCCATAGGGATTTTTAATTGCCTGAAGGCATATCTCAGTAGGAGAGCAGAACAGAACAGGAATTTGAAATAATTAAGTTGTCAGGATGACAGCTGCTTTTATGTGTCTATGCCTTTCATCTGGATAGCTGTCGTTATTAGTTAGCTGTTCTTACAGTGTCATTAATGGGATGTTTTGAATATATCTCATTCTCATCCTAATATAACATTTAAGATATGAGGATGGACCTGTCCCTTCCTCTCTCTGTTTGTACATTCATCCATTCATCCATCTATCAATCCAAGCAACTCACCCATAATCCCATACTGGGCTAAATGTGCATATATGTTTTGCACGTGCAGCTGGCACCCTGGCTGAAATGATCCTCCATTGGGATAGAAGTCAAAGTGGGCAACAGGCTGTTTGATGCCCACACTGAGCCCCATGCGCTCTTGGGTAAATGTGTGGATGGCATCCACAAACCTAGCATCCTCAGGTGAGAGTCTTTCAGTATGAGACATTCCCTCAAACAATGGACCCGCAGGATCCAAACCTACACGAACAAAACAAACTTAAATTTAATATATAGTTACTGTAATATTTAGCGTCAGGCAGGGATAAATGTATGGTTTTGTCATTTTTAAAATATTTGCTGAGAATTAAGATCTTCGAGTTTAAAATCTTTCTCGTATTTATATATTAACACCATTGTTTAGTGAGACATTCACAATGCTGACAAGACTGTCTCACCGGTAATTCTTCCCAAGGTTTTTCCAGACACAGCTAGGTTACTCCCAGCAAACCCAGATATATGAGCTCCAAGGCTGTAACCAATCAAATGCACTTTTCCCAAAGGAAATAGTTTGAAATCCTGTTAGGGACACTTACAAATTAATGCCATGTACTATTCAGCAAGTATGCATTAAATTGACCAAACACAATATTACAGGCATTTATAATGTTACAAAAGACACTACATGTCAGAATGCTGCACATGAGACTATTAGCTCCGACAGCACTGATAATAAGAAATGTTTCTTATGCATCAAGTCAGGACCCTGGACCACAAAACCAGTCATAAGGGTCAGTTTTTTTTTAATCGATATTTATACATCATCTGAATAAATAAGCTTTCCATTGATGTATGGTTTGTTAGGATAGGACAATATTTGGCCGAGGTACAACTATTTGAAAATCTGGAATCTGAGGGTGCAAAAAAATCTAAATATTGAGAAAATCGATTTTAAAGTTGTCCAAATGATGTTCTTAGCAATGCATATTACTAATCGAAAATTAAGTTTTGATATATTTACGGTAGGAAATGTACAAAATATCTGCTTATGATCTATTAACATTCTACTGAGTCAGTTCCATGTAAGATGTAAGGATGGTAGCATTATTCCCTTGGGAAATAAATTCTGCATCCATAACTGTAAAGAGATTTGTATTCCCAAACCAACCCTCACCTCTAGCCACCTCAGCAGGTGGGCAATGTCCTGCCCCACAATGCGTGTGTTCTGAACAGCTATAGGGTAGTGATGGTGTGCCAGAGTCAGCCAATCTGCAATCACCACATTGATGCTTCCTTCTGAGCTTTTTAGTGCTGATGCCAACCTGGAAATCCAGTTCTCCATCATTCCGTCCACCTACAGCACAGCGAGGATTTTATTTATTTTTACTTTCGCCTTTATCAAATTAGAAATAACTCTGCATAGCTGTTTGCAATCCATGCCAAGGTCATGACCTTTTGTAAATTTGAACTATTGATCTGTTTTTCTATTAAATCAATGAACTCAACATACCGACCAGCCATGAATGATGATAGCCAGAGGATGGCTGCTATTGAAACCACAAGCGTCCAGAGTGTGAGGCTTGAAGAGCTCCACTGTGCATGTATCATCTGTGCTGTCAGTGTAAAGCCTGAAGACTGATTTAGGTTCGTAGGGCATCTTCATCCTCTCTCCAGGCTCAGTGTCTGTTAGTATGGTCATACATAAACTGAGGTTCACAGACAGTTCTTTTTTTTTTTTTAGGCTGTACAATAGTCCTGAAGACTTAAACTACTTCAGTCTGTGTGCATTGAATTTATTTAATACACGAGTTTCACAATTTGAGTTGAATTACTGAAATAAATTAACTTTTCCACGACATTCTAATTTATTGAGATGCACCTGTATATTTCCATAAGCAGCAATGCTAAATTTTGCATGGAAATGAAGTTACAAATGAAAATAAGATAGGAGTATGTTTAGATCCCATATAGGTCCGGGGGAACTTTGAGCTTGATGGTTTGAGCTTGAGTCAATATAAAATGTGTTTACCCATCACTCTTGCCCATTAAATGAGCATGTGGAGAGTAGGATATGACACATGTTGCATTTCTCATATGCATTAAACATTTATGTTGCATCAACATATGTAATATAAAATGTTTCATAAACCTATTGTACCCATGGGTTTACCACTTTTTGTTGCATGTCCTGTAAAAACATTAGAGCTGTCTGAGATTCCTACTATTTGAACCCGTTTTAATGTTTTCCTATGCAAATGTTTATTTTAATGGGACATGCAGTTCTCTAACTGTCTCTGCTTACATTGACAGAGGAATTGATCTCTCTGTCAGGTTAGCAATTAGTTGTTAGCATTCTATGAAAGGTCAAAAATCTGAATGCATCATTTAGAGTTAATACAAAACAAATTTCCCTTTGAAGTGTCTGGATTTTTAAAATCTGAGATAAATGATAATGATAAACCTCACATTCTGATTCAGCATATTCTTCTGTGATGTAGTTTTTGCATGTGAAAAATGTACATGTTTAGCAAGGCCAGTGTGTGAATGAAGATATTTATTTCTCTTTCAGTATTTTCAGCTTTTATTTGCAAACACAGTCTAGGATATTATTTCTCTGTGATTTTATGGATTTTTTTTAATACAAGTTTTTGCAATTTACATCAGCATTGATTAAATGAGACATAGCACAATTAATGCTGACTGTTATTGCACATCCATATCTTCCTTAATATTTTACTTTACCAAGGAGCATCAGTAGCACCTCTTGTTCACCTACACATACTATTCTGTTTTTTTGTGTGTTTTTGTTGTTTCTATTTACATTTTTTTCCTGCAATCACTAAGCTTAATTGTGAACCACATTCTGTCACAACATATAGTGCATGCTACAATACCTTAGTGAATAAGGGAAAAAGAAGCATGTGCTTCACTGTTGCTCAGAAGATCATTTTAAACATACAGATCACCCAAATATTCGGTCGTTTACTCATCCACATGTTGTCCCAACCCTGTATGATTTCTTCTGAACACAAAAGAAGATATACTGAAGAATGTTTCAACTGTTTTTGTCCATGCAATGCAAGTCAGTGTGGTCCAAAACAGCATTGCATCCAGTTGACAGTGGGCAAAAACTAAATAAATAGATATATTCTTTTGTGTTCTGCAAAAGTCAAATAAAGGAAAAAATACATGGGGGTGAGAAAATGATGACAGAATTTTAAAAGTTAAGCATAATTCACCCTCACCTGCTCTGTTACCCCTAAATTTCCTTCCATCAGTCAGCTGAAAGATGATCAGACAGCAGGACACTATTTTAATAAGAGTCTTCATGTTCAGGCCACTTCAGGAGTCCACACAGATAATCCAAATATTTCCTCCCTCTCTTTTTCTCGGGCAAGAGAAGAGGCCACTGTGAGGCAGGTGATTACTGAACAATTTTTGAAACTGTCTGAGGGGAGGGAGCTGGCCCAGATGGGATGTTTGTTAGGGGAGGGTTCAGGCAGTTCAATCCTCTGGGTGAGCTTTGAAACCTTTTGTCATTTTGGAGCCAAATGATGGCCCTGATTGGCTGCATGGTGTTACATAAGAATCTATGCCACGATTGGTGAAAAAATGTTGTCAGAAAGAGTTCAGAAAGGTACACGCTGACTCATTACTGACAACTTTACTACTCAAATACCATGTCTCCAAACGCCATTCAGAGATGTCAAATGATGGTTTAACTCACTACATGGTCTTTTCTACTTCTTGTAGTTAGACCCGGTTTATTTTTATTATTTATCTCATTAACTAGTTCTAGATCAGATGCTGACAGTAAGTATGTGTCCATGTCCTGTCGATAGATAGATAGATAGTAAATAAAAGCCTGTTTACAACAGTTAACAGGACAGAGAGTTGCACCTGTGTTTGTATATGGTCCTGCATTATGGGTATTGTGGTGTTCTATACATTATAGGGACCAAATCACCACAAATATAGTAATACCATACCATCTTGACCTTGTGGGGACATTTTTTAAACAACTTATAAATCACACAGAATGAAGTTTTTTTTTAATCTAAAAAGGCAGAAAGTTTTGTGCAAGGGGTAGGGTTAGGGAAAGGGGATTGAAAATATAGTTTGTACAGTCTAAAAATCATTACATCTATGGAATATCCCCATGAAACATGGAAATATCTGTGTGTGTGTGTGTGTGTTTGTGTGTAAGCACTTGTCATTTCAGCCTTGATAGATGTCATTAAAGATTTAAATTTTATTTCTCTTTTCATTTCTGTTAAAAATGTTTCTGATTCCCACATTAAAATGTAAATCTTAATTCTTCTTAAAGATAATGCTGTTGATAATTTTCTAAATTCTAATCAACTTTATATATTTAACCATGCAGCATGTTGCAGTTGTGCTGTTTCATAGAATGGTTGGCTGAAGAACATACTACAGTCTAGTTAGCAGAAACGGAGGGCGTATGTATGCATAAACTCAGCTGATGTTGCTGATGTTGATGGTCAGACAGTGATAATGATTAAATAAGGTCAGATATAGTTGTGCAGATCAGTGCAGTCAGAACTTTAGTTTAGTCAGAAGTCTATTTTATCTCTCCCTAGGAATAGTTCACCCAAAAATGAAAATTCTGTCATCATTTCCTTTGTATGAATTTCTTTCTTCTGTTGAGCACAAAAGAAGATGTTTTGAAGAATGTTGGTAAACAATCAAAATATTATGGAAGTCAATGGCTACCATCAACTGTTTGGTTACCAACATTCTTCCAAATATCTCCTTTTGTGCTCAACAGAAGAAAGAAACTCATACAGGTTTGGAACAAGTAGAGCGTGGTGAAATGTTTCTGGTTTGGCTGATTATGTCGAGGTGAATTAATGTTTCTCTAAGCAAATTAATTCACAAATTGAATATGTGTACAGGTTTGCAAAGGTCATTTCCATTATCTAAGAAAGTACATTAGATGTGTAGTATCTCAGGGCAGAACTAAACTGACTGTGCATGCAGTACTGTAGAATGCAGATATATCAAGGAAATAGGGGCTGCTCTGGACTAAATCCTCATTCACAGGAAAACAGACATGAGATATGTATAACAGTATGCTTATTTTAATATATTAGGTATACATTAGCAGAATGACAATACTTTCTTCAACATTTTGAATGCAGTAATTTAATCTCAAAAAGTTTCATTTATGAGACAATAAGTAAAAAAATCTGAACCTGAAATAATGGGCTAAAAAGACAAAAATATTGAAATATCTCTTTGAATTGTACAAAAAACTGCTATTAGTTCATTTAAGTGCCAGTAAATAAATTACTATAATAATGTTCTTAAAAAGAGGAAAAAAACACATATTAAACAATTTTATTTCACAAACAACAGTTACGAAATACCTAAAAAAACATCACATTAAGCTTCGCTAAGTCTGAAATGTGATGTTATACGCAATACTGTTACTATAAGTTGTGATGCAATAATTTTCTTGAACATTTTGACACATTGTAGCATAAATACACATTTATTTCTTCTTAAGCTTTCATGTAAGTTCATTGCAAATTCATTTTTGCATGCATTGCAATGTTCATCCCATTACCTCATGCGAGTTACCTTATCAGCAGTTATGCATGCAGCTAGTAGCTCATCTATTCATGTGTTGTATTGATTCGTCCTGTCGTTTACAGACGATATTAACAGACCATTTAGCCTGTTCATCTTTGATTAAATCGAGTGGACAGTAAAGTACCCTTTTCCTTCATTTTAGTGAGAGAAGAACATCATCTTATGGCAAGCAAGATAAGAAGAAGTAGTAGGATTAGACAAAGGAATGAAGGAAAAATATAGGTGCAATGCTGGAGTGGTTTAACTTTCTCTGGCTGAGGCTAGACAACCTGCATTGACTATATCTTAAGAAACAAAAAAGGAAACCTGAGAAACCAGTTGAAAATTATTATGATCTATATATACATTCCAGAGTTGTTAATACGGAGGATCTGTTAGCACCTGTGATCTTTTACTGGCAGTGGTATTGATGGTAAAACTGTGGATGCTTTACATTAAATACTGTTTCTGCTGTCGATCGCTCTGTAGAATAGATAGAATGAATGGTGATCTTTGAAAAAGTTAAACTTGTTAAGAACTTGAAAAAGCTAGAATTATAGATAATTAACACTTGCTGTCTTTCATAGCTGCTTGGTTTCATGAACTGACTTGGCAAAAGACTCAGAAAAGAGATCTAGAGGAAAAGACAGAGAAGGAGAGTGTGTAGAAATAACAGTGCTTCTTGTTTGAGGTCTATGGGGAAGGAAAAGATACCATACTTTCCCTCTCTTTCTAGTTTACGGTGTTCAATTCATATTTATCTTTGATGCTGTTGTCATCTTCAAGGTTTTTCTCAAGCTCAGGGTGATGCAGCTCAATCATCAGGAAGTAGATCACTGCCCCGGCCACACCGCCCACCATCGGCCCAACCACTGGAACCCACCACCAGCCATTTCCAGCCCTGAAAACAGATGAGAATCAAATCAGGACTGGGCAAAATCCTGAATGTATTTTCAAGGAAAATTTCAATTATAATGGAAATGGCCACACACATATGGTGAGTAGTTTGAACTCGAATGACAGGAAGAAGAATTGACTGAAATTAAAAGAAAATTCAACACAGTCACACAAGTTTCATAAAATTTGTTGTTGATTACAATCAAATGGACACGAACAGATCACTTTCAAGTTGTTTTGTGTATGCATATATATATATATGTAGATACATAAAATGGACCCAAAGTTTTCAACAATAATGTGCATATATACAGCGGGTAAAATAAGTATTGAACACATCACCATTTTGCGCAGTAAATATATTTCTAAAGGTGCTGTTGACATGAAATTTTCACCAGACGTTGGTAACAATCCAAGTAATCCATACATACAAAGAAAACAAAACAAATAAGTTCAGAAATTAAGTTCTGTGTAATAAAGTAGAATGACACGGGGGGGAAAAGTATTGAACATGAAGAAAGGGAGGTGCAAAAAGGCATGGAAAGCCAAGACACCAGCTGAAATCTATCAGTAATTAGAAAGCAATCCTGCCCCTTGTCAGTGGAAATTAATATTATAATATTAGTTGGTTCAGTCCCAAATGATGGCCTATAAAAAGGTGTCTCATGACCAACGTGTCACACAAGAAACATTTCATGATGGGTAAAAGCAAAGAGCTTTCTCAAGACCTTCGCAACTTTATTGTTGCAAAACAAACTGATGGCATTGGTTACAGAAGAATTTCTATATTTCTGAATGTTCAAGTGAGCACTGTTGGGGCCATAATCCAGAAGTGGAAAGAAAATCATTTCACCATAAACCGGCCACGACCAGGTGCTCCTCTTCAAGAAAAGAATTATCAGAAGAGTTGTCCAAGAGCCAAGGATCACTTGTGGAGAGCTTCAGAAAGACCTGGAATTAGCATGTACAATTGTTTCAAAGAAAATAATAAGTACAATAAGTAATGCACTCAACCACCTGTATGCACGCTCACCACGCAAGGCTCTATTGCTGAGGAAAAAGCATGTTGAAGCTCGTTTAAAGTTTGCTGCAGCACATTTAGACAAGCCTGTGTGAAATACTGGGAGAATATAGTCTGGTCAGATGAGACAAAAAGTGTACTCTTTGTATGCCATAATACACACCATGTTTAGAGGTCAAATGGCACAGCACATCACCCCAAAACATCATGGTGTAGCACTGGCAAAATTCATATAAATGGAAGGATGAATGGAAAAATGTACCGAGACATTCTTGATAAATATCTGCTGCCATCTACCAGGATGATACGGATCCCCGCACATGACATGCAAGAAAAAAAAATAAATCGATTTAGCCTACTATTTTTTTAGGATGATGAATATGAAACAAGGGTGGACATTTCAGCAAGACAATGATCCCAAATACAGCCAAGGAAACTCTCAATTGGTTTCAGAACAAGAATGTAAAGCTGCTAGAAAGGCCCAGCCAATCACATGACTTGAATCCAATAGAAAATCTATGGAAAGAACTAAAGATCAGAGTTCATAGAAGAGGCCCATGGAACCTTCAAGATTTGAAGACTTTGTGTGGAAGAATGGGCCAAAACCACACCTCAGCAATGCATACCACTAGTTTCTCCATACAGGAGGCATCTTGAAGCTGTCATTAACAACAAAGGCTTTTGTACAACGTATTAAATAAATTTCAGTAAGCGTGTTCAATACTTTTTCCCTGGGTCATTCCATTTTATTACATAGAACTTAATTTCTGAACTTATTTGTATTGTTTTCTTTGTATGTATGCATTACTTGGGTTGTACATCTGGTGAAAATTTCATGTCAACAGCACCTTTAGAAATATATTTACTGAGAAAAATGGTGGTGTTCAATACTTATTTTACCCGCTGTATTAATGTTCCGCAT